CAAGAGCAGCACGCCCGCGTCGGAATCCTCTCCGCGGCTTTTTAAACAGGGCGGAGGTTGGTCACGGCCTAGAAATGGAATTACGAAAATGATTGAGGACTTGTGGTTTTATGTGTACCACCTCAAATTTGGTATAGTAGGACGTGGGGCATATTTTTATTTTCTAATTATCAGGGGCATTTTTTGTTTTAGTGATTAAATGGGGCATTTTTTCTTTCTCTTATAAAATTGTGTCGACTGAGACACCAACACATGAGCTTATGTTGTCTACTTAGAATGAGCAATCCAATACTATGTTGCTTAAACGATTAACAAACTTACTTATACGTGTATCTTGCGAGCAGCTTTGGGATACGCAAAAAAAATACATTGGCAATTACCTACTATAGCCCTATCGGAATCGTCAGAGGTTGCAGATTCGCATGATGTGAAGGGATGATCTTTACCCGCTGCAACTTCTCTCAATAACGCACATTTTTACGCGCATACAGCTTCTGGAATGCTCAGTATAGGCCTTTCAAAAGTCTGCAATAAAAGTTTACGCGAATTCGCTATGACCTTTTGTATCGTCACAAGTGAAGGCTGCTGTGTGGCGTAGCCGGATAAAAATTTAGGCTGGTCCAAGCAACAGCATCCGTCTCTCCACGACATGTGAGTTACGTTGACTTTTTGCGCTTGACGTCAACGGCGTATATTTCGGGTAATCAATAATAGATTTATAACGAAGCATAGATTCTGATGTATGATAGCGCGTTTGCAATGATTTCCATGGGTTGCACCGGACATTGCGCGTCAGTTATCATATCAGGCCCGAGTGAAAATAAATGAAGCACTTTGCTATGGTCATTCTTTGTCAGCAAAAGACCGATTGCATGACAAGTGTATACACATTTCATTTCGAATGATCTGAGGTGTGCAAGAAGAAACAATGTCGATTGCATTGTCGATTTTTGCATTATGCGTTACTGATTTTTATGGAACCAGTACGCTTTCATCAGAGGCCCCATGACCACTTCACGTTATCTTTTCGCAAACATAAATTGTGAAGTTTTACCTAAGCGAAGTTAGTGGCACGAGTCTTTCCACATGAGCCGTGAGGTTTAGGAAATATACAGCGCTTCTTGACATCGTCTGGCTCTAATTCGTCGAGATCGCCTCGATCTTTTCTAAACCAGAACATAAGTAAGTTTTTACAGTAACACACAAGAAGTGCGATGTTTTTACCGTAAACATGCTTGTTTAAGGCTGGCACAAAACAAATGCTTCATTATAAGAGGAAGAAGCGTTCGGAAGTAGAATGCATCTATTATTACATTTTTTACACTTTCGATGTATCGGATATGGACGAATATACTCTTGAACATATGCAATGTGAATCGATGCACCGGTCTCATCAGACGAGTATCACATCCGTTGATGGTGGATTAGGCATTGCAAGCCTTTGCGGCACATCCAACAAATATTTTGCTGCCACTTGCGCTCTCAAACTTTAATCGCATCATTACATTACGAAGTATAATCTAAACAACAAACACATCAGAAATAGGGACGAATGGATATTAGTGCTTGAAAACCCGTCTACGAAGATATCCTTGCTCGTGACAGGCTAAGCTTCCAGTACCGTGCATTTCCTGTTTGCAATGGTCGCACGATCTGCTATCGTCTTGTGACCTTACGTATACAAAAGATGGTATTGATAATGGGCAAGATTGAATATCTTACGTACACAAAAGATGGTATTGATGGTTAGTACGTATACTGTAAATCCCACATGAACCATGCTGATCGACTGGCAAGTAGATTTTATATGCTAATGCGGTAGCAAAGGAGACAGTGGCCGCTACTTCTTTCGACATTTTTTCGGGCCTCTTGTTTTTGTATTGATCCGTGGCACTTGCCACGGATCAATACCGGTACAAGATTTGTATTAATAATAAGGTACAAACGCTACTTAATTATATTTTTCATCAGTCTTCATTTATTTGAAAATTGGTTCATGTTAGTGCTCTCATTTAGAACTCAGGAGTCAAGAGATTTCATACTATTAATCGATTCAAAATCAGGCGATACCACTGCCGGCTAATTATCGATAAGCATTCGTCCCATATGATGAGCACGTAGACGTGCTAAACTCGACTAGTGCGCATGTTCTCGAAACTTTCTGAGTATACAGAATTACCAAACGAATTATTACAAACGCAACATCTACAGACTCATTTAGATCAGTAGTATGCTAAGCAGAGCTTGATCTGTTGTCCGACAAGACGTTCAGTATCTCAGTTACTTACGTGGGAAGAATAACCGTGCAATGCTGGGAACATATGCACCGTAGGTATAGCTTCGTGGTGACTTGTTATTCATGATGTGCAACTTATTTATCCGTTCCCTCTTGCTGTGTAGTAGTTCGTTGAACTTTATGTCTCATGATATCAGCGCGCTATTGTCCGTAGTAGTTTGCTCACCTTATATGACTTACATTACAGTTACAAGTCGATATAGGAGTACGATGTAACGGAGTGAGCCCGTTACATAAAAGTTGGTAAGAAAGTACAAATTTTGAATAATATCGATATTGGTAATAATGTATCAACATCACTCGAGAAAAGCGATGTTGTCGGAATATAACCTCTAACAATAATATCCGTGGAGGGGTCCACTTATTAGTAGATGTACCCTGTACATCAACTAATTTAACCACCAATCGCTGTTGGACGCGCGCAATGGGTGGTGGACAGAAGCCCACATAGGAGACAGTAGTTTATTTAGTTAGATTAAGACGAAAGATATCTTAATAAGAAATATAACAAAAGTAGAACTGTTATTAAATAACAGTTCTACTTTTCCCTCAAGACAGAGCTTTCGGGTTCTGTATTGTCTTGGTCGCGCTTCCTCACGCCACGTGTACGTGACGTCGGGCGTACGCACCCTTTTATTGTTATCAATGCAAGGCCTTGCACAATTATCTGAGCAAGAGCGTGCCTTGTAACATACGAAGCCACCGCTTCATAAGCAACGTATTCATTTTTGTGGGTGCTACCATTTACGCAGCATCGACTCATACTACACTCGCCTACTCGAGCCGTAAACTTTCGTCGCTGCCTGTGATTTAGCAATATGTGGATTTCTGCCGCACTGCGTTACTGCATAGTCGTGATAACTACCGGCTCTCATGCGGGAAAGTCTCACTCAATTGTAACTCTCCTCAAGCTCAAAACTGCGTAAGAAGCGATCATCACAGAGCCACCTGGTGATCCAGGAGCTATAATATTGATAGCGAAGTGCTGCCGCATGAATCGTGGTATATACCTTCTGGTATCTATTCGTCCTAGAAAAAGCAATATCATTGTAATTTGGATTTGAGTCAAGTATGATGAAAGTATCACAAAAAATGCGCCTTCCATCGTGTAGCGCATATCAGTACATTTTCTTTACTATTGCGCATGAGCCTGTCAAAGGCGCACCTTTATTGCATTGTGGGCCTTTGCGCTGAACGAAGTTGAGCTCAAGCCTCTGCTGATAGTGACGGACAAAGTGATCGAAGACGAAAGGTCAGCCAGAGCGCAAAGGGCATGTCTTTTCACTTCGATCGATAAGATAATGGGGTATCCCGTTTTCTCAGGGGTAGCAGCGCATAGTTAGATTTCTGCAACCTGTATTGACTTCACTGATAGATCAGTCGGTCATTCCGCTTCTACTGACCACAAACGTTTCGTCGGACTATTTTGCTGCCGCGACTTCGAAACAACGTCGGACCCATGTCCTTGTCCCTCCTTGACAGACATTCGGGCAACACAACCGGTGATGCGAAGCAGTGGGAAAGTACAATACGTTATGAGCGCAGTGTCCTGGCTTCTTTCATGAGCTGCTAATTGCAATATTTTGCCACCATGAGAGCAGGTTTTTCGTTTTTAACATAGGATAGGCTCATGTGCTATCGACAGCCGCTTTATCATCGTCAGGGTGGATGAAATGACGCATAGTATATGTAAGCTACCTCCAGTCGCATAGATCTGGATATCGCGTTTTGTTGTCTATTCTTCCTTAGGGCAAAACAGCATGTAACTGATGGACGGATACCGAATTATCTCGCTTTACCGTCTTTTTTTTGAGGTTCCCTTCGATGGGAGAAGCATTCACGCGTGACGTGAGCGATCATCACCCACCATTTCCATGGTAGATGAGTTCGTGGCCGTTAGACGGGCCACGAAGTGCTACCTGGTGAAACGGTACCCTACGCTCATACCGATGATAGTATAAGCTATCTACAATGATGAGAGTGTAGATACGTGCACAGCAACTTCACGTATACTGAAGAGTAGAGATAGCTCACTCAACCAGACGGTAACAGTTAGTTAAATTTAAACCAGATTCAATAGACATATGGCATTTGCATTGGCATATATAACATGTTTTGCGATGAAATCTCACATCAACCAAATTTTACTACAAACATGTAAACGGACACGTTGCTCACCGCTCAATGCGTCCGTCTACTATTGATCGGTGGTTGTATGTGCTGGTATCGTGCATCGCCTGCACCAGCAAATGAGCAGTGCGTCACCTCGTATTAAGAAAATTATCGTTAAGGGTGATTTCCCTGGATGTTATTCGCGAAGACAATATGCATATTGACATTCCATACATATCCATTCATGCTACGAGGTCACCCGCTGCAAAAAACAATCGGGGAACAGCTTCGCTTCCTCTGGTCATCGTAAAATGCATGTCGCAAGCTACCATCTGATTATAACGGTGTATACCACGACGATCGGCCTTTCACGCACGTACGACAACTAGATCCGCAAGTACACTACACAGGCAAAACCACTCTCTTAAACGCTTCCGTAAAGAAGCACTCGCATTTAGTTCCAGAGGGACGTAATCTATAATAAATTACAGACCGGAACCCAGGACCACTCAAATCGTACAATCTCCGCCCGCGACGAAATATCGAAAGATTTAATTGTTGAAGCGACCATCACTCTTGGCTTCCGCACGCAATGGCGACAGCCGCAGCCGCTTCCTCGGCCTTGTGCGCGCTCGAGCGACGCGACGTGCAGCGCATCTGCAGCGGTCAGTCGATCGTCGACCTCGCGACTGCCGTCAAGGAGCTCGTGGAGAACGCGCTGGACGCCGGCGCGTCGCACATCGAGGTGAAGCTCCAGGAGTTCGGTCGAGACGCCTTCGAGGTGAGCGACAATGGCGCAGGTGTCCGGCCCGAGAACTACGCGGCCTTAGCGCGCAAGCACTTTACCAGCAAAATCCGCCACTTTGACGACGTTCTGCGCGTCGCGTCCTTTGGCTTTCGGTGGGCACTTGCGGCGATTCTTTATTTTAATATATAGATCGATAGTTAGCTATAAATGTCGACTTGGATTCATTTTAGGGTGCATGTGATGTGCTTTGGCAGTGGATGTGTGTGTAAAACCTTGTTGAGGTGCATTGGATGGGAAGTAATGTACGCAATTATTGTGCGTGGTATTTTATTTTGCGCGGCACGTGTAGTGGCGAAGCGCTGAGCGCGATTTGTGAGCTGGCGGCCAGTGTCACTGTGTGCACGAGGACAGCGGACGAGGCCGTGGGCGCGCTGCTGAAGTACGATGCAAGTGGAGCGCTGGTCGACGAGGCAAAGCGAGCGCGGCCCGTGGGCACAACTGTCACAGTGACTGAGCTGTTCAAGGTGTGCTGTGGAATATGATTAATTAGGGGTACACTGTGATTGGTGATGTTGGTGGAAGCTGATAACTGATTGTTGTTGTCGTTGTTGTTGTTGTTGATGTTGCTGTTGTTATCGTTGTGTTGTTGTAGCCACTGGCGGTTCGGCACAAGGAATTCCAGCGGAATAGCAAGAAACACTATGCCAAGCTGCTGAAGGTGCTGCAAGCGTATGCTGTGAGCTGCGAAGACGTCAAGATCAGTGTGTTCAATACCGTTGCTGGGAAAAAGGATGCTGCTCGACACGTGGTGCTGGCTACACAAGCACACCAGACAATGGGGGAGAACATTGCCAATGTGTTTGGCACCAAGTTTTTCAAGACGCTCGTACACGTCGACTTGGAGCTGCAGATTTCTTCTGGGGTATTGGAAAAACACAGCAAGGACAGGGAGAAACATGATGGCATCAAAAACGACTGTGAAGTGGCAAAAGCTGGTAGGGGGGACCAGGATGCTTTTTTGAGCAGACTGGAACGGAAAGTCGTGGGCTATGTCTCAAAAGTCGGTGCTGGCGTGGGCCGCAGCGACAATGACCGACAGTTTTTTTTCATCAATGGGCGACCGGTTGACTTGCCAAAGGTGTGAAGCTTGGCAGATGAGCGATGGGTATCAATCGGTGCTGAGTCTCGTGTTGTACATGTGCTGGTAGGTGGCAAAAGCGCTGAATGAAGTATGGCGACAGTACGAAATGAAGCACAAACCCGCATGTGTGCTAGACTTCCGCCTTCCGCTCGGCGAATACGACGTCAATGTCACCCCGGACAAGCGAGAGGCGTTTGTAAAGCACGTACGTGTCGAGCCTTTTCTTTCTCGCGGATGTGACTTTGCATATCTGATCTTTGTATGCCACTCTAGGAAGCAGAAATTGTTGACGCGTTCAAGTCGGGTCTAAATCGACTTTATGAGCCAAGTCTGGGCAAGTTTACAGTCCAGCCTTTGTTCACAACGTTCGCTCCTGTTGCAAAGGCCGAAGCCTCCGCGAAACAGTCCACTTCTGTATCACTGCATGACCCAGCCGAGCAACTCCAGCGCGTATCTACTTCTGAGACCGACATCCATGATGAAGGGGTACTAGCGGAAGTCATGTCATTGAAGAAATCACATCAGAACGGCCGAAACGAAACGGAAGTGGCTGGACAGTCCGTTGCTGGAGATTTCCGACCAAAGGTCGACAGGGCTGAAAGCGCGGGAAGTATGCGTCCACGTAATGGCGGCAATGATGAAGGACCACCAAACAGGACACATCCGTCGCCATCTGTAGACCACGCCGTACACGGATCGCGAAAGCCCGTGAAGAAGCGGAAATTAGACTCATCGTTGCTGACCCCTTCGACACCGGTGGAACATACGTGGTCATTGCGCCAGATGATGAGACAGCGGCAGCAGTATTTTGAAGAAGAAAGGGACTACGGGCAAAGAAGAAAGACTAGCCACGTTGAAATACCGAAGGCATGCTCGACTTCGGTGAGTGAGAACGCTCTCGAAACAAATAATGAGGTCGCGACCGCAGCTCTGCAGCGCGTGCTGAAGAAGGAAGATTTCAAGCGCATGGAGGTTCTCGGCCAGTTTAACCTTGGTTTCATTATCAGCAAGCTGGACAACGACCTGTACATCATTGACCAGCACGCGAGCGATGAGAAGTATAATTACGAGACGCTGCAGCAAACTACAGTTATGCACCAGCAACCTCTTGTCCGGCCACTCCTGCTGGAGCTAACAGCTGGAGAAGAGCTGGTCATCTTGGACCATCTGAAGGTGTTTGCAAAAAACGGATTCACGTTTTTGGTCGACAAGAACGCGCCAGCAACAAAGAAATTGAAGCTGCTGTCGATGCCTTTCACAAAGCACACGCAATTCGGCACTGAAGGTACTGTTGGTGCTGTTCTTTTGTTTGCGCTCGCTGAGTGAGACGACGTGTATTCGTTTGTATTGCAGATGTTCGAGAGCTGGCGTCTCTGCTGATGGACACACCGCTGAACTCGTCTACGATCCGTTTGCCCAAAGTGATGGCAATGTTCGCATCTCGAGCGTGCAGAAGCTCCATCATGATTGGCACTGCTCTCCGCAGAGAGGAGATGCAAAAGGTATGTCTTGACGATACAAATAATCTACTGTCGTGGAATAGAGGAGTGCTGAGACATGCTTGCCACGCCGTATCATTTGTAGATCGTTCGTAACCTCTCTGGCCTGGACCAACCATGGAACTGTCCGCACGGGTACGTTATTACCAATATCACATGTACTTGTACAGAATAATACCCACACCTTCTGTCTGATGTGTTGCTGCAGCCGTCCTACACTTCGCCACTTGGTTGACCTCTCGCATCTCGGTGAAAACAACTGCAATCCTGACGACATATCGCCGTGACCATGCACACCGCCCGCATCGAGTCTGCGAGTGAGTGTGTGTCAGCCATGTGTTGAATTCGAGACGAAACAAGTAGATCAGCGTTGCCACTTCCCTAACGCGTTGCCCCATCAGACACTGGCAGGGGATTGATCATCCGGGCTTGGCGATGGAGGTGGCAACTGTTTCTGATACTTCTCGCACAGTCTTTCGTAAGCGTCGACAAGGACTGGATCGTACGGGTCTCCTCGATAGTTGGTATCAACAAACTCGGTCCACTCGCGAATATCGTTTTCTTCGGGCGAGTGCGTGAAACACCCACCTTCACACTGGCATTCACCACCGTACTCCTTTGGCAAATTCTCCGGCGCAACAAACTCCAGCAGCGCTTTCGTTATGTCTTTCTGGCCGCGAAGCACGTGGATACGCTCACGTGTCTTCGGATTTACGAGTGGCGACACCAGTTTCCAAATAAGGTTGAACCAAGACGGAGGATTGATGAGGAAGACCTGGTAGACCCGTTCCGGGTTGTACGTGGCTACCACTTCGCCCCACTTTTTCGTGTAGTTCACCACGTCTGTCGATAAGTCCGCCATGGAAATGCCCTTGATGTCATAAACCTTGAGCATGTTGCCTTCGGGGAACGGCCGCGGGTCTAGCACTTTCCACATAAACTCCATCATGCGGACGTGGTGCATGATCGCTTCGTCTTCCGAGACACCACGTCCCGTGAAATCGTGCAGCGCCTTCCGTTGGCCGCCGAGAAACTCAAAGGAGATGGGATGACCCTGTCGGTCCTTCTTGTGTGTAAAGTGTGTGAAGCACTCCTTCATGTCCGCAAAGACGGGCGACGGACGCAGCAAAATCGTGTCCACGTCGTTTTCTTTCCGCCACTTCATTGTCGCAGCGTATCGCGCCTTTGCTTCCTCCACATCGCCTTCACAGCCTGCCAGGAAACGCCCGTCGAGTTCTTCGTCTTGGCCGTCGTCGTCACCGTCGTCTGGTGACCCGCCGCTCTTTCCTAGTGTGATCTCGACACATTCCACACGCAATCGCTGTGCGCGCACGAGCCGCTTCGTCGTGAGCAGCAAACTGATGCGCTCATGAAAGCGGGAGAGGAACAAAACAAGAGCCGACAGCCACGCCAACAGTTCAAAAGGACCCTTGTCCATCGAGTTCATGACTGCTGCGACAGCCACGAAAAAGCAAGTGAGTCCCCAGAACCGCCGGTCATTCTCCCCTTCCCGTTTGTTCACAGCTTTCTTCGCCTTGACCGCGACATGAAGGACGTGATCGTCGCGTACGCCATTGCCGAGTGGCTCAGCTTCTACCACAACAGGCAAGCTGCCTTTGGCCCCGCGACTTAACATCTCGCGCGAGTACAGCGCGGTGCCGTTTGCCGCAGGCCCATTTACGTACAATCGAAGAATGCTTGACGGATACATCTCCACCTGAAAGGCTTCGTCAACGGCCGGGTTGCTCACCACTACAGACTCGGGTAGTGACGACTCATGCTGGACAGTCACGCAACTGATCGAGTTGTCCTCAGGCTGCGGACCACGCTGCAGCTTGTACAGAGCGTCCTGGAACAACTGCATCGCTTTGCGCAATGTCATTGCAATCTCCGTGCACTGTTCCGGAGTGCGCGCGCGCACGCGAAACACTCTGCCATCGGAGCGGATCACCGTGAGGATGCGCGGGAACTGGTCGTTCACTTCAATGTGGAGTATGTCCGACAAATGCACCGACGATCGCACTTCACCGAGCGCCATGGCCGACACATGGACAATGTCGTCGTCCGTGATCGACGCAGTGGCTTTGAAACACAGCATCTCGGCCGTCGTCAGCATAAACACTCGCCATTTCCACAGCGCTACGTTCGCACTCATGCGGCGACTTGCTAGAGACCGTCCGCCCATTGTGAACGTGCCCAAGTACAAAATCTCGTCCATCGTATTGTCCTGCTCCTCCAGCAAGCAGCTGAATAAGATACCCGGCATAGCGCTGCCAGTCGTGTTCGCGCCTGCGCTCAGCGACTTGAAGCTGAAGCTGCCTGGATTTGCAGCCTCGGGCAACCCGCACGGCCCAGACGTCCCACCCATTGGCGGGAGACCGCTTTTAGGAGGAGTCGACGGCGTCACGAGCGCTGAGGTCTTCTCCGTGACCACTGGCACCAGCTCTGGATCGCTCTCGCGCTCAATGCTGTTCGGGTTCGAGTTCTGTCTCGACCGCGAGGTCTTTGGACTCCGGTAACCCGCGCGTCGCTGCACCAGGTGCCTCGTGCACAAGTCACAGACGCGGACTTCCTTCATAATGCCCAAGTGCGGCAGCGGGACCTGGTTTTTACTATGGACGCCACATACAGCGAGACCACAATTCCGGCAGTGGTGCTACACACACAAAAAGACACACAAAAGACCCAAACACACATACAAACACACACGCACCCAAACAAAAAACCCGACCGCCACGGTCCAGATTAGTCTAAAACCCAAAACAACCCATCGCACATGCCCCAACAACGCAATAAAAAACCCACGCGAACACGCAAGAGACGGAGCGGGGCATTGCACACGTGACACTTCGAGTCGGCCGATCCCGACGGCAGCACCGCCGCGGCGCCAAACGACTGACACGTCCGCTCGTCTGCAGCGGCCGTCTCGTCGTCGGCACTGGCGAACGGCGGCGCGCTGTGGCTTTTAAAGTGCGCGAGGAACGCGGCTTTGCGTCGCTGGAGCTCCTCGACGACCGACGCCGAGCCGTCGGTCGTACTTAGCGGTGTGCACACGCGCGAGGCGGTGGGCGACGACGACGACGACGGCGGTACTGTGGCGGATACGGATGCAGCGGCGTCGGGGGCGCGTTTGCGGGCTGTGTCGTGGAGGAAACGCGGCATCACGAGGCGGTCGCCGGCGCCCATGGAGTCACCCACCCACTCGTGTCGAGACGGCGATGGGGTCTTTTTGCTCGAGGACCCAAGTGAGAAGTGAGGGCGGACTGGACGACCCACGTGCGTGCGACAGGTGGAGGGGGGAAGTGGGTGGTACACTGGGTGATCGAGGGCCGGTCCGAGTCGGGCGGCTGGTCTTTTGGACGACGATAGCGCGCGAGGCGGACTGTATGTGGTGTGTGTTTTTGTTTCGGGACTGTATTGAGGTGAAATAGAGGTATACGTGCCTATACGTACGACGACAAAGTGTGCGTCCGACGACTGGTAATACGTGAGCGGTCGATTCTGAAACGAGCGATCGGGTCGAATACAGTGCGAGTGCACGTTATAAGGAGAAAGCGGCGACTAGTTGGCTCGATGCGATGCTAACGTTGATAGGTGTTGGCTTGGGCTGTGCGAGATCCACTCGAGAGACGAACGAGTTGGGGATATATCAGTCCGTGCGGCACGGCAAGCGACGGTCGGATCGCTACGTCGTTCGTCATATTGTAAGGTCCTGACGTGTTTTCGAGCAAACGGCCTGTTTGTGGTCGTAGGGATCACACCTTGTGATTGTGTTTTCGATACGTTTGCACAGATGCGGTCCTGTCCTGTCGTGTCTCGTTGTTATAGTTCTTCTTGCTGTTTTGGTAAGAACTGCTATGCTGTCGTCTTGGAGCCCTACCGCCAGAACACGGGCGTTGTCACTGGTATGCGTTTTTCTCCTGCTGCCTCTCGACGGAAGTGAGCCGAATGCCTCACGTCTCTTGTATGGTCGGCAAGTCGTGTTGTGAATCGTCACAACCAACTGCGACACACATGTGACGCATACAGAAACGTGGTCATCAAGACGAGGCAGGTGTCTTGTACGAGACCACACTGAAGAGTGTCGACCCGACGTCTTCGATGTAGTCGAGCAGTCCACAATCACAAATAGGGGCAGACAACACACTTCTGCCGTGCGTTAACAGGACAGTACGATCTGAACGACGTTTGGCTCGGCCGCGATCGGTCCCATCTCACTTGCCTTTAGTATGTTGAACGCTGCTCGTGCGGCTCGTGTCCTTTGCTGAATATCGCACTTGCATGTTCGACTCGTTTTCTCGTAGTTGAGAGAGGCAATTTACATATTACGAATATCGTTTTCCCCTTTGTTGTAAGAAGTGGTGGCAGTAAGGGATATTGAATGCAACTAAAGCAGCTCAGACAGGTTGTGTACTTTGTTACGTCTAGCGCTTGGAAATGATGTAGCAGTGTGAGATCATCGGTTCTCGACGAACGAGGCCGCTGTTGCAGTCACTCGACTGATCGGCAGACGCCGAAGCAGATGTTCGCGACTGTAATCCGACTCGTCTTTGCTGACATACGATCGCGTTCATTCAGCATCAAAGCTCTGGCAATCGATGAGGGCTGTTGTGCGTCAGTTATGTGTGTGCGTACGTGCTGAAGGAGCGACGTGAACTGTTCCAGTGCAATCATGACCCTTTTGCGGGCGCGGTATCAACACGCCTGCGTGGACTGGTCAACAAGTTTACAGTATTCGTTGCGAGGTTATGACTGTTGCACAAGGTGAACTTGGTCAAGCGACAGTGTGCCAGTCGGTGGGAGGGTATCGGACCGATTGAGCACTGTCCAAGCGACGGTAAACGTTTGCGTGCTACCAGCAGCTACCTGATCATGATACAGTAATCGTTACCTTCAACTTGCTCATATGGTCTATGGTCACCCTCTACCCCTTACGCCAAGCGTGGGTCGCAACCAGTCAAGAGTCGATTGTAACGGGGCACGCCCTTGTGTCAATTAAGCACAAAGTTGCGTGCACCAGACGTCACGAACACGTGGCGAGGAAGCGCAGCGAAGAAGACGGAACTCGGACGCTAAGACTTCCTAATAAACCATCTTTATCTTGACCTAACTATATTAAACTACAATCTCCTACGTGGGTATCTTGCTCACCACCCATTGCGCGCGTCCAGCAGCGATTAGTGGTTAATCTGGTGGATGTAACCACACCAACCAAAAGTGGAGCACCCGAGAATATTACCCACAGAGGTAACATTCCGCCAACATCACCTCTTCTCAAGTGATGTTGATTGAGTATCATCTAAATGGATAATACTCAAAAATTGACACATCAGTATCAATTTTATGTAACGAGTCACCCCTTACATCGACCGTGTTGTAATCGTTGCGGACCACTCTTCATCTAGGCTACGACTCGGTCAGTTGCTTGCGAAGACACTCCGTACCAATCGTCTGCTCTGCATATCAGGGACTCTTGCTTCACTTCCAATAGAAGAGAAGTCGATTGCGATGCGCGATCAAGTTGTGCATCAAAGCGTAGACAAACAAAAAAATTGTGAAGACAGCACTTTGTAGATTGACTGACTTTGTCGCCCTGGTTGCATCACCTAAGGTACAATTCTATAGTACTTTCCACTGCTGTTGTCGACAATCTATCGATCATTGCAAAGCCAAAAGTGGACCTGAAGTGTAAAGATGGAGGTGTATTTCGAAGTGTTTAGCTATACTGTCTACACTATGGCTGATTGGGATAAGCCCCTGTCCACTTGAAAGCCCCAGTATTGTCTCGCTCCATATCTTTTCTACTTACTGATTTTTTCTGATTTATTTTGGTGGTTACGGTGACGTATGCCCCTTCCTTATTGATCACCTGATTTCTGCAGAGTGACGTTGTCCTCAGATTATTGTATCTTGATCAACGTATGCAAATGAATGTAGATTCTTTCTGGATCTACGGATAGTCCAACCTGTCTTGCGTACTTATGGTACTTACACTCTCCCGTACTTGAGCTCTCGTTGTCGCGCTTGAGGTCGACGACGAGCTCTTTCCAATGAGAGATGTGGCGAAGGTTCTGTTCACGCTCCCAAGTGGCTTCATGTTTGGCCTCACCATGCCATTGGACGAGCCATTCAGGTTGGCGATTAAACTGACGTTTTTAGCAGCTTCTCCACAATTTGCAATCGGTTCGTCGTTAACGAGCTTGGAAGTCTTGGGTATAGGTCGGCTTAGGAACTTGTCGGGAGATGGGACATAAGGTGATAGCACATCAACATTAAACATAGGATTCATTCGGTTCATCGATCGGGGAAGTTCCAACTTGGCCACGTTTAATTGATCATCCGAATGACCTTAAAAGGTCCAATCTTGCGTGCAGCAAAATTCGCTCGTTTCGTGTCTGCATCCTTCGCGGCGCGAGACAGTGGAATGCGACTTGAATCGACCATGACGAGATCTTCTTGCTAAAACACAATTTGGTGAACGCGACGCTTTTGGTCATAACACCTTTTTTGCGTTTCCTGAGCCTTGGACAAGTTTTCACGGGCTTAAAGGTGATCTTCTGCTTTTCTTCTGCGAACTCTTTGGCATACTCCGCTAAACCCTTGAATTGTGTTTTCGAAACTAGTGTTTTCTTCCACACTTTTCGTTCTTTCCTTCCGGTGTCGATCTCAACGGGTGAGAACCCCGAAGACGCACTTACTAGCGTGGCATGGGCATAATCGGTAGTTCCTAGATAATGAACCCGGTACTACCTTGGCAAGACATCATGCATCAAGGGGCGTCTTCAAGGACTAAATGATACCTTTCCGTTTGTTCATATGCTTGAGCTCGATGAGCAGTGGTCATGCTGAGCTTGACACCCATAATCTGCATCAGTGATTTCCAGAAGTTTGACGTGAACTTGCTATCTCTGTCACTAATTATGACTTCAGGTAACCCGTGATGACGAACGACCGTGTCGAAGAATCACTTGGACACATCCGTAGCTTCGTTATTTGTATGCACAGCGGCATATTTAACTCGTTTGTAGAGCTTGTCTACGACAGTCATTATTGCGTCTGATCCTTCCGACATGGAAAGCATTGAAATGAAGTCCATAGTTACTACGCCAGTATTGCCTTGTAATTGAAATCGGCATCAGGAGCATGTTATTACGTAGGTTGTCGCGTTTCCAACGGGTACAAGTTTCGCATGACTTTACATACTCTTTGATATCTCGTTGCATCGACTTCCAGTAGTACCATTACGCTGTGCGAAAGAACGTGCGGCGATTTACGGGATGTGCTGCAATCGGCGTATCATGGAGCTCTACATATGTACGAGTACGCAACGAATTGTCAGTAGGAATACACAGCCGTTTGACTTTGTCGGCATAATTTGTAAACAAGAGGTCGCCCTCCTTGACACAGTCAATATTAGCGAGTACATCGTCGCTCCAAAAAGTGTTGAAATCGGGAAAATTGCGATAACCTTGTTGAATTTCACGTTTGGCTTCCGGTGCCAACTCGATCCGTGAAGCGGCAAGCGTATTAACGGAAATAGAGGGTTCACGAGCCCACCCCGGCAGAGATGGCGCCAAGGCTGTTAGTCGAAAGCGAGAAGCACGAGAAGAACAAGACGGATTGCAACGATGAAATGTAACTTGATCGACCTGCGGATCGAAATCAACAGGTCGGGCCGAGGGAGCATCGACAACGACGTTTAAGATGCCCTTGACATGGTAGATAGTGAAATGAAATTGATCCAAAAAAGTCAAATAACGAGCGAGCTTGGCGGAAACCTTGAGACGATGCATCAACGAGTAGCACGCGCTATTGTCGGTATAAATATCGAAGTGCAAGCCATAGAGATAATGTCACCACTTATCCAGACTCAATTTAATCGCAAAGCGCTCTTTTTCGTGCGTCGGACAATTAAGTTCATGAACGCCAAGATTTTTCAAATAAAAAGCGATCGGATGGTCATCATGCTCGTAATATTGGGAAAGAACCCCACCCACGCAGGCACCCGACGCGTCCGTGGTAATCACAAAGGGCCGCGAGAAATCGGCCAGCCTGAGGACAGGAGCACGCTGCAATGCATGTATAAGGTAAGTAAAAAAGCGGTGTCGTGATCAGCACTCCAAGTCCAAGGCGAATCCTTCTTCACGAGACGACTTAAGGGAAGAACTATGTGAGCGAATTGAAGA